ATGGGGATGGTTTTGAACTCAATGGGAAAAGTACAATAGTCCTCAATTGAAATTCAAAATTGAAAAAAGTCAGTTGATATTCTCTAAAAATGAACATCTATTTCAAAAATTATTGCTCTGTATTACAAAAGTCTACATCGAAGCCCTCAGTATGGCTCGCAACTAAAATGAAAGCGTACTACATGTTTTGTGTGTCTTCTCCATCCTAATACTTTGTGTACCCTCCATTTGCCTTTATCACTGCTACACATCTTTCGTGCATGCTGCCAACTAGTGACAATAGCTCCTCTGAAGGTATAGAGTCCCATGCATCCTGTAGCAATGTCTTCATCGTGGCAGAGCGCACAAGCCTGACCCCATTTATCTCAGGACTATTTACCTGAATGTGGTTTTTTAAGATATTCCACATTGACTCGATCGGGTTCGGGTCCAGAGAGTAAGGTGGCCATCTAATAGGCGTTGTTCCAACCTCACGTAGCACCTTAGTTGTTGAGTGTGCCTTATGACATGGTGCGTTGTTGTGCATGTATAGAATTTCTGGATTCTCCGTGTGAAATTGATTCAAAAGTGGCAAGATCCTTTCACAAAAGGATGAGGACCTCATTGATCCCCAATCCTTCTCCCAGACTAGGAATGGGCCTTTTAGTGATCCGTAAAATGATCCCCAAAACATCCAGCTGTTCCCATGAGTATGGCGAGCCACAATACAAGTCTCATCAAACTCATTGTCAGGCTATACTCTACTGTTAGTACAAGGAAGATTTAGATTGAATTTAAACGTACTTTTCTTGTGACACAAGGTTTCAAATGACAATCACCCGGTAACCAGGTTTCAACAGTCCATAATATGCGACTCCATTGTTCACCGCGCTTAACGGAGGCTTCTTCCGAGCAATGCATCTGCTGTAACCTCTTTTTTTGAGTGCATTAGAAATTAGACGTTCACTGCATCCCCAGTGGCTGAAGGGCCCCATGGCTAGTTCCAAATAGCACATCTTTCGATTTTCAGGAGACTCCCGGACGAATACTTCAAGGTCATCAACTTGTTCCGCGCTTAATTTTGGTAAGGGTCCTTTGCGAGACATAGGATTCTCAGTCTCTCGAGCACACGCAAGTTGTACTTGTCTTGTTTTGAAGCCAAGTTTGTCGGATATATTTTGAAGTGTCAAGCCAAGTCTTCTTAATGCTCTTATTTCTATACATTGATCGCGAGTTAGATGCTTGCGAACTTTAGTTTCTGAAGCAGACTTTTCGAGAGACATTGTTTGCTAGAATTGAGGATGAATTGATAGTGGTGAGAAGTACCAGTGACTGTGTAGGCCTGGCAGCCCAAAATGTCGTTGAAATTGTGTTTTACTAAGCGATAATTAGAAGAAGACAATTGGACCACACTTCATGGCGAGCGGGATAAGGAGGAGAGACATACTAACCTATTATGAGCTAGCCCAACTGCGCCTACAGGGCTAATCCCTTCAACGACCCAGTTGAAGTTTTACCTTTTGGAACCTAGAGGCACTGTAATCCAGTCTTGGCGTTACGTAAAAATCATTCACAGCCCATATTCACAAAGCTCGCTGCAGTCGATTCTTTTTCTCTTTACCAAGCCAATCTATCTCGTATTCCAGAGGCTGTCCCTCTGCTTTCCTTTCATTTCGAGATTTAGCTAGATAATTGCATATGCGATTAAAGCCTGATGCAAAGAAAGAGTGGGAGCTGAGATAAGGTTTTCGGTAAGACTAGCTAAACTACAAATTCAAACCCCATGTCTGGATCGATCAACCAGTTTCAAGGTCCTACACTTTATTTTTTATTTTTTTTGCATCAGATTTTAATTGCGTATGCAGCTATCTAGCTATGACACAATATCAAAGAAAAGTACAGGATAGATGATTCATCGTAAAGGAAGGGCACTCATGCTTCGGATTTCATTTGCAAGTACCACTGCGAAATTATGGCGGCTTTTTCTTCACCCCAAGTCAACCCTCATCCGTGAATACCCACCCAGGGGAACGTCTCAAAAACCCTGAGTTATCCAGACATGCCTTCATCATCTTTCAACTTTTCTCCGCGCGATATGTCATCTGAGGTGTCTCTTTCCCAAGAGGAGTAGGTGCCCAGGCTACTCAAACCATACCAGAGAACACCACCAGGCCTACACTTTATAGTTATGCATAACTAGTGATTCATGTTCGATCTCACGTATTGTTGCAATCTGTTCAGTTAAAAATAGTCCAAATCTGACCCCGGAGTACTCGATCGAGCCTGTTAGTTTGGTTGCATTTTTTAAAGCATGGTACTTCGAACAATAGATGTGATGTTTATTGTACTACTTGAGTCTGTGACTACCTAGCACATTGGGCTCCTCTCTAACCCAGGCCACACCTTGTACAGCGCTCCTGTCCTCTTTTGTTACTTGAAAAATCATTGATATATTGCCCATGATGAATAGCCATTCAGCCCAGTATTTACCCGTAGAATTCAGCCAACTTTTCCACGGAACCTTCTACTAAAAAAACTAAAAAAAAAAGGTAGCAATGGAAACTTCGTGCGCGGGAAAAAGTCTCAAAAAACCTGCAGTCCCAGCCATGCGAGGCCTAGACACCGGGACCACATGAGGTGCGCATATTCATCTACATCTCCCTTCTTTGTAACATTAGAGGTCGACTTGATCCATTCCACCGTCACCGTATCGGGTGCTGAGTACGTTCTGGAAACTTATCGGATGGCTTTTCCTCCATGATCAAGGGTGGGTGATGAGTAGGGCTCCGACGCTACCATCTGATCTGATCGTGGTTAGCTTCATGATAATAGTGATAGGGGAATGTGTTGAGAGATGAAGACGATACAGACCGCGAAAGCGATTGGGAATCCTCGTCGAAGTGAGGACTTTGTTACTCAATCTCGGCTCTGCAAACTCCACAGTGAGAGCTGGAGGTTCGTAGGGGACACCACTGACAGGTGTTGAGAATAGTCCCCCGTATTTCGACCGGTATATTATGCGGTACAAGGCCTTTGAATGTGAATCGCATATTGTGTATTTAGCTATCCAGCTATGACTCATTGTCGGTGCTACACACACATTTTGGTAACTCTTTTGATGTTAGAGACACTCATTCTCTGGATTTCATTTGCAAATACCACTATGAGGTATGTTCGCTCACTCAAACAGTCGACCCTCCTTCGTGAGTACCCACCAAAGGTAAATTTAAAACCATTGGTTATCCAAGTATGCCTTCGTCATCCATGCATACCAACGCCGCGAGAAATGTGGTTGTGATTTGCCGGATTTGAAGCAGCGATCTACTGTCTCAAGTGGGATATGTGTCCAAGCTACCCAGACTCTACTTGGCAGATCGACCAAGACGATGTACCACCGCACCATCCAACCATGGCAGTTTTTATAGTGTCACCTGCACTCTCGCAACCGAAGCCTTGGCACGCACAAAGCTCAATTTTATAAAAGTCCTTGCCAAAATTCCACGCCCGTCGAGGCTGTATCCATCCTTCGCATCATCTTGTTAATTTGTCCTGAATCCTATCACGCCAATTCCAAAGAACTGTCTCCCAGATTTGTGCGCCACGCTTTGTGTCCTCCGTCGGGTGTAAATATCAGCGTGGGCGTGTATTTGGCGACCAGCTAAGGCCAGAGAAAGTCGACAAGATGTGTGATCATTGGAATGATAATGTACTAGGTCGTACTTGTAAACTTGATGAAGCTTAGGTAGGAATTGATTTCGTTGGGAGTGAAAGATTGATATGGTGGAGTATTTTGAATCATTGCCTCGTGGGCCAACTTGTTCGGTATTGCGAAGTTTGACTGAACTTGGCTGTGGGAGAATACTTCACCCCCAGGTTCGTAGAGGACACCGCGTACAGGTATTCAGTCTTGCCCTCCCGATCCTCCTCCGTGAGTACCGACCAAAGGGAATTTCAAAATAATTGGTTATCCAAGCATGCCTTCGTCATCCATGTACACCTGCATCACGAAAAATGTGGTTATGGTTTGCCAGATCCTAACCACGATCTTCTGTATCAAGTGGGATATGTGTCCAAGCTATTCAAACCTTACATGGGAGACCGGCTAAGATGATGTACTACGGCACCATCCAACCATGGCAGTATCTATAGTTTCAGCTGCACTGTCGCGATCGAATTCTTGGTGCGCCCACAAAGCTCAATTTATTAAAAGTCCTTACCAAAATTCAAAATGTTGCCCCGTTGGACTTTTCTTCAAACGTTAGCATATTCTTGTGAACTTGTCCGGATCTCTCTCACGCCCATTCCAAAGATCTGCCAACCAGATTCGTGCACCACAATTTGTGTGCTCCGGTGAATAGACATTTTTATGTGGGCGTGTACGTGGAGAACATTTGAGGCCAGAGACCGATTTAACGAGAGGTGTGGTCCATGGAGTAAGGATTCACAAGGTTATACTTGTAGACTGGATTAGGCTTTGACCGGAATGGAACTTGTCTGGTGTGAGATACTGATTTGGTTTTGGGTAGTTAATCATTGCCTCGTGGGCTAACCCGTTCGGTATTGCGAAATTCGACTGATCTTGGCCCTGGGTGTACACTTCAATCCCAGGTTCGTTGTGGACACTGGGTACAGAGATTCAGTCTTTGACCTCCAACTCAAGGCCTAGTCGTGCCTAGCGATCTAAAGATAATCATCACATGAGGCTGACTGCATATGCACCTTTTGTGGATACCGTGAGCTGTTTTATTAGCTGAGTGTCAGAAGGTTCAGAAGAGGCCCCGGAATTTTGTGTATTCTTTGCTTGCTTCTGCACGAGGCTAGTAGTTTTATTCCACAGTTCTGCATCACAGTTGTATTCAACCAGAGGAAGCTTTTTCCAAGTCTAGACCTTAGCAACTTTTAAACGATATAATTTACCAAGATATACAGGCAGTTACGGGCAACGTTGGGTCTCCATGGTAAAATTAGTAATTGTCAAATCCAACACCTGAACGATACTCTCTGTTGCATCAAATTACTTGATGTCGCAACTACCGAAATCTTTGACACTAATCCCATCATGTTCTGAATCTAGTTTAAAATCAGATGTTCCGATTCAACGTTTAGAGCCTATGCTGCTACGTGGAGCAGAAAATGATGATGTTGAATTGCTAGGTGAAACAATAGAATGTGCTAGGAAAACCCACCAGCTGAATCAGGAATTCCTCTTGATTGGGTTAATGCGAAGTTCAGAAAAGAATAAGTTTGCTGCCACAAAATATCTCCTCGACCAGGGTGCACAGTCTGATGAGGCGATCGGAAAGGCTGTAAAAAGACTATCCCCATTACTTCGTGCAGTGGAACGTAACAACATTGAAATTGTCCAGCTGTTATTAAAATATGGTGCAAACCCTGATACTGCTGACAAAAAGGGGAGGACGGCGCTGATGACAGCTGCTTGGCGCAATCACTGGCATATATTGAATTTACTCATTCACAAGGGAGCATCTATTAATGCCCAGGATCACAAGGGGCGTAACGTGCTTCATAATCTAGCAGCTGACAAGAAATGTGACTGGGGCGATTCTGTGATAGAATTGCTCCTCAGCCAAGATATATCTATCGATGGGGAACGTGGTCAGGATGGGCTAGGGAGGACACCGCTTCACTGGACATGTGCTACGGGAAAAATAAATCTAACTGAGAGACTCCTCACCAGAAACCCCAAAGCTAATTTACATGCCATAGAGACTAGAGGGAAAACAGCCCTACACTTGGCCGTCTCAAACAACAGACAAGATATCGTAAACTTGCTCCTGAAATACGGCGCTCATATAAATGCGAAAAGTGATGGGGGATGGACTCCTCTGCACAATGCTTTGGAGATAGAATCCGAAAAGAGAGCATCTGCCAAGATTTTGCGGATGCTCATCTCTCACGGAGCAGATCCTAACGCTAAACTACTCAATGGAATGACCCCTCTTCATATCGCGGCCCAGAATGGAAATATATTGGCAGTAAAATACCTCCTCGAACAGCCAGGCATCAAAAGTACAGTCCGGGATTCATTCGGTTGTACTCCTTTTCTTAGGGCTGCCAAGAATAAGAGAAAGGACATAGTTAACCTTCTGGCGCCTTTCAATCATCCCGAAAGACTATGCCGGGACGGGCTAGGTGCATGTCATGGATTTAACGCTACCATTGTTGACTTTGGGAATTTCCGTAATGGAAACCGTGTGCAAAAGCCTTCTGTCTTTGGTACTTTGAGCCCTACACACCTTAAACAGTCTATTGCTAATTCTCTAGATAGAACTACTCTATGACAAAGATCCTAGCAATAAATTGAAGCCAAAGCATTCCATACTATCCACTGACAAGGCAGCAAGTTTTAGATGGATCCATTTACCAGCTAACAATGTGGCTTGGGTAGAAGTTCTTCTCACGAAACTTTTTGTCGAAGAAAATGTTAATGACATCGAAAGTTTTAGGTCACTAGAAGATTCATTAAGCTATCAGCATAGGGGTCAAAAGAGCCATTCTCACTTTATGAGATCATTCTGTCAGAGTGCACCTAGAGGCTCTGAAAAAGATGGGGAGATTCTACCTATGTCATCCAGCCCAAGGTCTTCGTCTGTTCTTTTAAATGAGCGACAGCATGTCACACCTTCTAACGGCTCCCAACTTCAATCTTGTAGAGATCCTCACAAAATTGATACAAAAGATAGCAATACAAAGGTCCGTTTGATAAAAGATGATGGAAAACCCCATATCAGGGAAAAAGGAAATAAACCAAAAGCAAAGTCAAAGCTTTCGAGGGACATTGATATAACCAGTAAAACTGAAACACATCACCCACGCTCATCTGGCGTCGCCTCTAAAGTAGCTTCGCAGCCCAAGTCGACCAATATATTTACCTTTATGCCGTACATTCACTTTGAAAGTCATCACCGTCAACTTGAAAGGCAAAAAGCAATTAGCCGAGCCGAGACTCTTCATTCCTCACATTTCAAAAATAGTGAACGGGCCGGAACATTTGACGAAATGCTTATTCGAGCGCATCTCTCTAAATCTAATGTGTCTCTACACCCTCGTCGAACACTTGATCAATCTTTTTACCATAATATCGATACCAAATCTCGTGACCAAGATCAAGTAGTTTACCGCTATCAACTCAAATCATCCAGCTCTAATGATGGGGTTGACCCAAAAATTTTAATGGTTGATCAATTGTGGATGTGGATTTTAGGTAAAGACCTTATTGTGACCTTGTTCCCTCAAAGCTGGCAACAACCCAAAAATGATCCATTAAATGTCCTTGACTCTGTGATCGAAGACATAAACTCTAAAATTCGAGAACCAGTGGCATCAGTCTATGATCTCTCTATGATTATAACTAAAAGGTGTACAAGCATATTTAATCGGTATGGTACCGGGGATAACAATTATCAGTTTCTTGATATGTTTGAATCATCTATCGGGAGTGTTACTGATCGAGAAAATATTTTATTCAAAGAATTTAACATGGTATCTGCTCAGGCATCAGCATGGCTCCGAAATAACCGCCAATCAAGTTGGTTATCCCGTTATCTATCGGGTCATACAACAGATACTCATGTTAGACCCCAGATATTTGAGAATGAGGTTCAATGGGAGGAAATCCACCATAATCCAATCTTTGTCGATAAACTCCTTGATATTGGACAAGAAACTGATTTGCTGGCCGAAGTCAAGGATATCCGTGACGAACTGAATATGATTGCCAAGATACTAGAGGATCAATTGCATGTCTTACCTGATTTCCAAGAAGCTATTTGCGACTCTTATGTGGCGGAGCACAAGTCACAGGCTGAGGTCAAAAAGAGATTTAGAGATATGGTCAAACTTATCGAAGTCCATAATAACGATATTGCACGAATGGATCGACAGGCTGAACGAATATATAAAAGCATTACCGATATGCTCGATCTAAAACAGAAGCATGCTAATGCCTTGGAGGCTCGCTTTACTCGAGACCAAGCGGCAGGAACAGCACGGCAGAGCCAGACAATTATGGTTTTTACGATTGTGACCATTATCTTTCTCCCTCTCTCGTTTATAGCTACCTTTTTTGCCATTAACATCCGGGAATTCCCTCGGGGAATCGATGGGCCCGGTATTCCGCTCGGTTACGTCTCGAAATACCTATTTGGCGTTGGATTCACCGTTTCGCTACCCTTGATCGCGGTAGCCCTCTTGGTCGACGATATAAGTATCATATTTCGCCAAGCCAAAGCTATCCTTCGTCGACCACGAGGGCGTGAAGAGCAGTTTGCGGCAACTCCTGTCCATGAGCAACATGTCACTGAGAGAGTTGCTAGCACGGAGCGATGTGTGTATAGTGAAGAATTAGAGCGCATGCATCTCCAATTTACGGGAGATCACTCTGGCTCAGTGATGTCGGACATGCAGACAGTAACGCCGACCAGAAAAATGATCACGGGATTTCGGATTCGGGCCAGTCGAGATCTCGAGCAAGGTTCATTATGAAGCTCAACTTACCAAACCGGTGTACTCGCTTTTTCTTTAAACCTTATCCACCCCCTCGGCCCTCGGTTCATGCCTCACACACCTGAGCGCAACCCGTCACCACTAGACTTCCTGCTTATCCGCATTACGTCTGCCACTGAAAGCAGCAGCTCACTGTGCTTGCTGACAGTTTGCCATTAATGTGTAATATGTGAAGAGATCAGTAATTCAAATAGCTATCAGCTAGGCGTGTTATGAAGGATGGATGCTAAGATAATTTTTGACGCTTCGTTATCCCCGTCTTTTTGGCCAAGTCTCAACGGCTTGTCTAGGGTCAAACTTTAGTGAGACTTTAAGTCTAGTTTCAGGACCTATTACCCTCTAAATAGGGGTGTCACTAGAACACTGCCAACGATTCCAGAAAATTTCCATGCGCAGAATTCGGGAAAAACTATCTTGGTAAGATTCGAAAATTACGCAGCCTAGCTTTCTCGGTTGATCTTGCTGCCATTCAATTATGCAAAAGTAGAAAAGAAGCATAACTCTAATAAGCTCACGATATTTTGGACATGAGGTTAAGAGAAATGCCACAGATTTTTCAGAGAGCCTAGTCATTATTTCATTACTCATAGTTCTATTATACATTTCTTTGCTATCTTATATAGCGGCACCAATGACATTTACAGGCGCCCCTGTTGTCTCTTTCGAGATGAGTCTATTTGGGCTTTTTAAGGGAAGAGCACACAGTTCGACGACACTTTCTTCGTCTGTCTCATTATCCAGCCACGTCGGGGGGTCTTCAGGTCTGTCCGGATCATATTGTAGTGTAGGTTTCCGGCTTTGTGTTGGCCTACGAATTGACGGCATAAGCTGAATTGACGACCCATTATGAGTAGACGAATCATTTAGGATCGACATTGGTTTTTGGATTGGAAGGGGACTAGGAATAAGAGACGCAAAGTCTCCAAATGTGTTTGACCTATCCCTGAGACTCAGATTTTCGTGGCTGCCTTGTGCAGGAGTTTCATCAATACTAGAATGCGTAATAGAACGAGTGATTCCCACTTCGCTGCTATTTTGTTGAAAGGAATACATTCTTCTATCATCATTACTTTGGCGCTGATACCCTAGCGTCCCGTTCCTACCAAGGGGAGTCAATTCAGGTCTATTTCCATTCGAATTATTAGGATCACTCCGCTCACTGGATTCCCAATTATAGCCCGATTTTTGGTTTGGCTGCTGTTCAGGTTGCCTCGAGATTCTGATCTCCGAGAGGTTCAGGGGTGCTATCGGGGGAATAGGTGGCATGGGCGAAGGGGTTATATTTCTGAGATGAATTTTTTCCTTCAATTCGGCCTGTCGCTGTTCTCTCCTACGCTTTCGGAGGCGTATGATGGTGTAAAATAAGATTATCGTTAAAATTGAAGAGGCTAGAATTGAAAATGTGAGCGATAAGGCAAACTTCGTAGTGTTCATGGCAGCAGTTTGAGATGCAATAATACTGGCCTCGGCCGACTCTTTGATTGAGACTATGCTTGCCTCTGCTCGCTGTATTGCAGCGGAAGCATTTACTAGAGTCACGTATCAGCAAGAGTTGAGATGGAGAGAGGACATTTGTTACTTTTTGCCTCATTTGCAGCGGCATTTGCACTTGCTACCATATCTGCCGCACTGGATACAATAATTGATGCATTTCTTTCGCTCATGGAAATGACGTTATCCATACTTATCTGTGCAGACAACATTGAGCTTGTAGCCGAACTCAGGGCTAGGGAAGCAGATGACTGGATACTGGTAATGGCATCGTTGAGCGACACAATCGTGACAGATGCCGAAGAAGCGGCACTAGCTAGAGATATTGATAGCACACTTGATGCCGAATTAGCCCCAGCATTGAAGGCAGTACTCGATATATCATTACATCCTGTCAATGGATTTTGGCGGGGTAAGAGGGCGGGCGGTTGAGTAATGAGACTTTTGGCAGATGTAGTGGTTGTGGATAAAATCTGTTGAACAGGATCGCGAGGCAGTTTGCTCAGCCACTCTCGATGGCGTAGGAGACGTTCGTTAGCTTTTTCCAAGATACTTTCGAGGTCCTCGGAGGCGAGAGGAACGCTGGTTTGAATATCGGAGGTCAGGGCCATCTCGTTGTGGTGAATTTGGATGGAGTTTACATTGTTTTCACTCATCCCAGAAGATTACCATATTTCGTTAAACCGTAATTGAGGGAAAGATAGAGTGGTATCTGAGCGAGAAATGAATCGATAGGAGGTGCGATAGACGGCCTATACTTACTATGCCACATCGCCGAAACATCTCGTCAGACTCATAAGAGCAAGACAGGGACATTTGAGGATATCTGAATCTCCATGGCACGGACTTTAAAATCCTGTCATTCATATGCGACTTCGCATTCAGAGATGACCTAATCATCTCATGATCATAGTTGATAGATCGTTGCATTTGACGCTGTGTGTCGTCTCAGAAGTGTCCCTTGAAAAAGAAGCAACCCCGTGACGGACTGATTGTTGCCGTCCCAGACGACAGGTTTGTGCACACAGCTGGAATTTGCAGCAGAAGTAGCCAACATTAGCCTGTAGCATCATTGGTTTCCAGTGGAGTTTCGAAGCTTCCGTGTTAAACAAGTCAAAACTAGTTTCATGGGACAATGATTTGTTATTGAACTGATCGTAACTGCTCCGTAAGCTACAAAGCTCGCAGAAAGTGGGGTGGGCGGGAACCATGGAAAATGAACCCTTAGAATTACCCACATAAGGGGGTGGAGAATGATCTATGCGTCATCCTTACCCCAGCTCTGTTAATTAGTGTCACGTGAACATTATACCCATCTCATCGGCACTCCTCTACCTGGGGAGGAAGTTGCTGGAGTTAGAGCTAGGAGATATGGCAGGATCAATACTACAAGGTGCTCCTTAACTGCGGGTATTGAAACCACGATCATGTGTTTCCCTCAAAATAGGACTAGTTAAGAAACATATGTTCTTTTTTGACTACATCTCAAATCACGCAAATGATGTGAGGTATTCCCTGATTCAAGTTCGGTTTTATCCTTTGCATCCATCCATGAAGTTGCCGCGAATTCTGACTCTAGATTGTCGGGATCGTCACAGTCTCTAAATTATTGTGTGCGATGAGGCTTGAATTTCGTTGACAGATTGCCTGCTCATTTCCAGCGATGGTTAATTTTTTGCATCGGATTTTAATTACGCACGCAGCTGTGTAGCTATGACACAATATCAAAGAAAAGTACAGGATAGATGATTCATCGTAAAGGAAGGGCACTCATGCTTCGGATCTCATTTGCAAGTACCACTGCGAAATTATGGCGGCTTTTTCTTCACCCCAAGTCAACCCTCATCCGTGAATACCCACCCAGGGAAATGTCTCAAAAACCCTGGGATATCCAGACATGCCTCCATCATCCGTTCACATTTCTCCGCGCAAAACTTGGTCTTAGGTTTCTCCTTCCCAAGTGGAGTAGGTGCCCGGGCCACTCAAATTATACCAGAGAACACCACCAAGGGGCGGGCCACGGCACCTTCCATCGTTTGCTTGTTTTTATAGTTTCGCCTGCACTCTCGCAACCGAAGACTTGGCACGCACAAAGGTCATTTTGTAAAAACTCCTTGCCAAAATTCAAAATTCCACGCCCGTCGAGACTGTATCCATCTTCTGCATCATCTCGTGAACTTGTCCTTATCCCTCTCACGTTCATTCCAAAGAATTGTCTCCCAGATTTGTGTACCACGCTTTGCTTCCTCCGTCGGGTGTAAATATAGGCGTGGGCGTGTCTTTGGTGACGAGCTGAGGCCAGAGAAAGTCGACGAGAGATGTGGTCATTGGGATGAGGATGTACTAGGTCGTACTTGTAAACTTGATGAGGCTTAGGTAAGATTCGATCTTTTTTGGAGTGAAAGATTGATATGGTGGAGTATCTTGAATCATTGCCTCGTGGGCCAACTTGTTCGGTATTGCGAAATTTGACTGAACTTTGCTCTGGGAGAATATTTCACTCCTTGGCTCGTAGAGGACACCGCGTACAGGTGTTCAGTCGTGCCCTCCAAAAAAATCAATTGATACTATCTAGAAATACACATCTATTTTAAAAATTATTGCTCTGTATTATAAAAGTATACATCGAAGCCCATAGTATGGCTCGCAACTAAAATGAAAGCGTACTTCATGTTTTGTATAATTCTGCTCCATCCCAATACTCTGTGAACCCTCCATTTGCCTTTATCACCGCTACACATCTGTCATGCATGTTAATCACACTTCACGGAGGCTTCTTCCGAGGAATTCATATGCTGTAACCTATTTTTTGAGTGCATCAGAAATTAAACGCTCACTGCATCCCCAGTGGTTGAAGTGTCCCATTGCTAGTTCTAAATAGCACATCTGTCAATTTTCAGGAGATTCCCGGACGAAAGCCTCAAGCTCATGAACGTGTTCCGCGCTTGATTTATGTGAGCGTCCATTGCGAGGTATAGGATTCTCATCCTCTCAATCACACGCAAGTTGTCTTTTCTTAATTGTGAAGTCAAGTTCTATTGAAATGGTGGAGAGCGACTATAACGCGATGACGATAAAGAAGATTATCAGTGGGCGAAGAGAGGAGTCTGAGTCTGGCAAATATAAAAGATATATATCTTTACTATGTACCAAGATGCGATTGTATTATGTTACAACTAATGACTACTTAACCTCATGTGTGTGTGAAAGAATCGTAGCCTCGCTTCAACCACGCTACAGGGAGGGCAAGACTGTACACCTGTAAGCGGTGTTCTCTACGAGCCAAGGAGTGAAATATTCTCCCAGAGCAAAGTTCAGTCAAATTTTGCAATACCGAACAAGTTGGCCCACGAGGCAATGATTCAAGATACTCCACCATATCAATCTTTCACTCCAAAAAAGATCGAATCTTACCTAAGCCTCATCAAGTTTACAAGTACGACCTAGGACATCCTCATCCCAATGACCACATCTCTCGTCGACTTTCTCTGGCCTCAGCTCGTCACCAAAGACACGCCCACGCCTATATTTACACCCGACGGAGGAAGCAAAGCGTGGTACACAAATCTGGGAGACAATTCTTTGGAATGAACGTGAGAGGGATAAGGACAAGTTCACGAGATGATGCGACGGATGGATACAGTCTCGACGGGCGTGAAATTTTGAATTTTGGCAAGGAGTTTTTACAAAATGACCTTTGTGCGTGCCAAGTCTTCGGTTTCGAGAATACAGGCAACGCTATAAACAACGGCATGGCTGGATGGTGCGGTGGTACATCGTCTTGTCCGGTCTGCCAAGTAGAGTCTGGGTAGCTTGGACACATATCCCGCTTGAGACAGTAGATCGCTGGTTCAAATCCAGTAATACACAACCACTTTTCTCGCGGCGCTGGTATGCTTGGATTACGAAGGCATGCTTGGATAACCAATGGTTTTGAAATTCCCTTTGGTCGGTACTAACGGAGGAGGGTCGACTGTTTGTGTAAGTGAACATACCTCATAGTGGTATTTGCAAATGAAATCCAGAGTATGAGTGTCTCTAACGTCAAAAGAGTCATCCCACATGTATACATAGCACCAGTCATGTGTCATAGCTAGATAGCTGAATACACATTAAATGATTCAAAAAAGAAATTGATTTTTTTAATTTTGAATTTCAAATGAGGACCATTGTATTTTTCATTTAGAGATGAAAACCATCCCCATTAATTTAGACTTTCCCGGAATATCATTGGATAGTACCCCTTGCTTACAGAACTAGTCGAGCAACTAGACATGGGCCTGCATGAAGACCATACCAATTAAGGCAATATGTACAGGGATCCAACCCCTGTCATTTTGACAGTTGTACTATTACACCCCATAAGAGACTGTAGTCATAGACTCAGACAGGACAATAAAGTGAATTTTTGAGCGGATACATACTTAAGTATAGTCAGCTCTAGTTATGCAGTCATGTAATATATAAGGACTGGGAGTTATGCAGGCATCCAAGGTGATCCGTGCATGGATATACATATGAAGGGAGGTTTTTCTGGTTGAACCTAGACAGAGAATCTTAGTGATTTAGTTGTAATACAAGATTGAGCCAATAACGTCTACAGAATTAATGATAATCCTACAATTTGAGGTGCCTTTTGCCCCTCATTATCGCCCCTCTCAAGACAACAGGCCAAAGGTAGCCTGCAGGTGTACGGCCGCCGAGAATACTTACATAAATCACCGGGTATGGGCTCCACTCATATGAATTCTAGAACTAAAGCCAAAGCGTAGGTACTCATCTGAAACGTTCAGAGATGCTGACTAACCGGGAGCTAAATTTACCTGCACATAAAAGAAGCACCCTCTGCCTTCCGCGTCTACCATCAACCCCTCCGATCGTTCTTGTTTGGGGTAGATTCGGAGATCACCTCACACTTTCATAGTCTAGACCGAGAGTGTATGTTGTACACTAGCCTGGCCCAACTTCTTGGCCAGCATTGGCTCTATTTGAGCTCGGCAAACTCTTGAATATGATCTGGTGGTTTGAAAAGTCATCTTCCTGAAAAATTAATTTTACGTTGTTATGCGTACAAATATTGAGGCACTTGGTGCTAGATGCACAGCCATGTCTAACAAACTACAGAGGTGAGTTGTATGAGAATTCCTCCTCCCATGTCTTAAAAATTATGTGACTTCTCACCATCAGATGTTAGAACTTGTCAAAGGATGAAAATTTGCATCGCGTGACCTTTTGTATCTGGCAAGATCTAGTTCGGTTTTATTTTGTTTTGTTCATTAACGTGCTAGGTAAAGTGACTACCGTTGCACTCTTCCTGGAGCTGAAGCAAGGGTGTGGCCGGGCTGGATCAAGTTAACTGCCATTAAGTACATCTACCTCGTCCCATCCAAATGACTGGACCACCTCAGACTTCACTCAAGTGTTGAATCATGTCAAGCCCAACCGTCCAGAGAACCCCCTTTTAGCGCGCCGAAGCGCAAATTTCCCTAAGCCCCGGCCACCACGCACCCGAGCCCTTGACACCTTCATCATCTGTAACTTTTCCCTTCGTTTTATTACCAGCTTTGGTTCACCTCAGCATCTCCTCATCTCATCCTGGAGTCGTTTTCTTCATTCAAGGCCTCATCCAGTCGCCCACCAAGGTCTCCCCAGTTTGTATCCCCTTTTATTTCCTTCAGACAGCATCCCTCTGTCCTTCAGCCGATCTCGTCATCCCAGAAACTTTGTAGAATGTCCACCCCTCCGGCCTTGCCCCGTCGCTGCCGTACCCCTAACCGTGGAGGCCGAAAACGCGACTGAGAGCTCAAGACCGAGGCACAGGTACCCCAGCCTTTGTCGAACGCTCTAGTTGGTGTGCCGAGAAATGTCGTACGCATTTCGTCGGTGACGATTCGTCGCAGGTCAAGTTATTGGTGCCCTTGGCCGAGTTGAGGACGCATTTAAGGTCGATATTTCGACCGTACCTTCACAGTGACTGGCAGTTGCGGAGAGTCGGACATCCTCTTGCTTCTTAGTTGGCGATTTGGCTTTTGGAGGTATGAGATTGCTTCGGTAGGTGCTGAGATGATTTTGGAGAGGGCTGCGAGATGAGTTCAGGTAGGAATAATTTTCCAGAGAAAAAGAAAAGAAAATCTGGAAGGTGTCGGTTGTTATGATAAGAACATCAGACAGGTTATAGCCTGTCTGCGGTTCGTATCTGGGGTGTTGATGGTTGATTACGTTGAGTTGTGCAGTCATGAAATCTCTGCAAGTCGGATTCTCGACTAAAAATGAGCCAACACCACTCCTCCCGATCGCCAACTCGACGAAAACTCTCAAATTCACCCTTGATCGCGACTGGATCTCGGCTCTGGCAGAATATTTCACTCCCAGGTTCGTAGAAGACACCACGGACAGGTGTTCAGCCTTCGTCCTCCAGATCTAGTTCGTGTATTATTTCATTTTATTGTCCTGTCTGAGACTAAGACTATATAGGACATGTAGGTATTCTCTGCCTACAGGCCTAGGATACCTATACCAGTAGTATATTCCCTCCTATGCCTGCCATACAGCTCCCCTCAAACAGTACCACCCCTCACCAGTCCTCATTCGATCATACACTAAAAGGAGCCCTTAGCCCTTCATTACCTCCCCTCTCCAGCCAACGAAGCGATGGCCATTTGCGGGTGTACGGCAGCCGGGAAAATTTGCAAAAACCACTGGGTGCGGAGCTCTCCTAATACCGAAATTTGAACTAAATCCGAAGACATAGTGACTCTTCTAATGCGTTCGAAGAGGCCGGCCAGCTGGGCGCTGCAGACTTGTGGGTACCTCGGGAAATTCACCCTCTGCCTTTCTAGCCTCCTTCCAACTCCTTCCCGAAGGTCGTGCTGAAATGTCAGAAAAGTCTTGACAGAGCGTGATTGCTGTATAGTAGCTTAGCCTAACTTCTTTTATACCGTCCAGGGCGCTGGGGAGTGCCGTTGACTCATCGATAAAAGAAGCCCTCCTGGCTAATCAGCCGAGATCTTAGTCTTGGCGCCCACAAAAAATCTAAAGTTGAAAACCCCTCGAAAATATCAGTCTCAGCATGGTCTTCAGAGTCCTATTCCACATCTAGCTCCACTTCTCAGCCGCCTGTCCTCCTCAAGTTATTTGTTCAATTAGAGCAACAGTCCCCCATAAGCCAGGACCCAGTCTTTGTATTTTTCGACTTGGTTTCCACCTTGCGGGTATAAATAACATCGTAAATTGTTCGGATTAGGTCCTGGTCAACGATGTCTAGCTTAATTGTGCTATGTTGCAGGCTACTGTTCCAATTATTCATGGGGTCATCATCAGGGTTGTGAGTAGTTTCGGTTTTGGTGTGGGTTGTTCGATTGATACCTGAGCGTGTCGCATATTAGTCAGACATGCGACTCGAGTAGCATATGCACGGTAAACTTCAACCCCAAAATGATGATACGAATCAGGTTTTACATGCTACGTCCTGTATGGCTAGCGTGGTTGGAATATAGGGAATTTACCTGTAGATAGATAAAGACGTTGTAGCCCTCTGATAGTTGGGACAAGTCTTCTACAATATTATATCGGAATCAATACTAGCCTCTCATCAAGCAATCTCATGAAATATTTCCAATGTTTGTGATAACAGACATACATATATAATGTCGACGACAAGTTCAAAGTCCATAACTTTGTATTAGTCTTCGTCCTTGTCCTAGTCTCCGTCCTTGTCCTAGTTATAGTCCATCGTCTGCGAGTCCTGACAGTGCCGGACCCCAATCTGTCTCCCGGAGAATTACAGCAACTGTTGTCGTTCGGAATAAAGGAAGAGCTGCTCGGGCTACGTTTTTTATCCTTTGTTGTATTCTAAGAACTAGTCCTTTTGGGGTTCCTTTGGAATACTAAGTCTCAGCCCCGTAAAGCAAGGTTGTAAAAACTGCTCCTTGAAGTGCTTGTCTCAAGAGAAGAGGGCTTATTCATAGAGTGATTCTTGAGAGGCTTTTTATGTGGCTTATGATGGACAAGGATTTACCGCATGTTTGTCTTACATGTTCTCTAAATCGAAGGCTTCGGTCAAAGATGACTCCAAGCCAGCGCGTGTGGTCGTTTGGAGTGACCTCTACTTTATTAGCGTATACGCTGGGCTATGCTGGGGATCCATGCTTTCGGTGGAAGTATTGCAGCTCAGAATTGTCGCTTTGAGGTTGTGTCTTTTCCTGACTCGGGAGAAATGCATTAGCTGATACTTTTTAGACGTGACTCTGACCCCATGTCTTCTTGCCCTCTGTTCATAGATTTGGTGTTTCTCCTCCAACTTTCGGCAGTTTTCTTCGGTCGAGTTGACCATGTCAGGATGTTTGTGTCATCTACAAATCTAACTGCTATCGTAGTTCTAGTCTCAAGTATCGGGAGAAGAGTGCTAACAAAAAAGTTAAAGATTAATGGCGAGAGGGCTGAGCCTTGCGGCATCTCGATGCTAGTAGACATTCGCTCCCCTTTGAATGATCCCAATATTATTGATTTTGTTCTTTTTTTGAGGAGGGACTATATGCAGAGGCTCTACATGAAGGGAATTCTTTTTTCCCTGAGATTGTGAATGAGTCGTTCGTGTGACACACTGTCAAAGGCCCCAGATATATCCAAGCTAAGGAGAGATGCCAGCCTCTTTTTATCTTTGCCCCAGATTGCGCGTATCTGTTCTATCAGTAGCTCGACTGCAGAGATCTACAATCTCTGCAGTGGAGCTCCTATCGGTTTGTCGGGAAGGAAGTTGTGGTGTTCTATTGCTTTGGAGAGGCGCAGGAATACAGATTGCATCGGGTACTGATCTTGGTCTGACAAGTGATCTGACCTTAGAGGGAAGGACTTGGAATGCAATTGATCTGTATAAAATAAATAGATATTCAATTGTCCTGATTTGGCACCTTGAGGCACATGCAGGTTTTATGGGATGTACTTTAAGTAGGACGTCTCAATTTGACGTTTAGAACACTCACACTCAGATTTCATGTGCAGGTACTACTCAAGGTTAACCCTTACGGCGTGTAACCTCTACCGTTTATACCCACCACTGGGAAAAGCGTGAAAGCCCGATGATTATCCAAATGTGCTTTCATCGTCCCACAAGTACAATACCACCGCTAGAGAGTGTGGTGTGTGGAATTTACTGGACTCGAACCAGCTATCTCCTGTCTCAAATGGGATAGGTGTTCAAGCTACCCAGTATCTACTTGGGAGAACGGCCCGAATGGTGTATCACTGCACCATCCAACCCATTGTGTTGGTGTTGATGTGTGCCCGAAGTTCACGTAACTTTTTGAAGCTCCCAGACCTTACGGTTTTGGCCCGATATTTAAAATCACTAAAATCCTACCCCTACTTTTTTATCAGCCCTAGGATCAGAAAGTGATACTATAAAAAGCCAGATTCGGTTGCTTCTCTAGAGGTATTACTGTCAATATGCAGACTCGGAAGCGCTCCATACAAGAGTCGACCACTTTTATTTGAAAGGTTATCTTTAGAATCTCATTAGGTGTGTTGGATATATTTTGAGCCTCCCTGGTGAAAGCACCATTCCGATCCAGTAATTCACCAAAGACGTTAGAGAACAGCGTAAGAGCTGTATAGACTCCAAAGATGAATTTGATCTAGAGCCATAAATCGTGTGAGATTAAAATTTACGAAAGAGTATCGAGATACCTATAGCCTACTGAAAGCTACTTTGCGAATATATTGATGATTTAAGCTCATTTATACAGTTGTTAGGACGCTTGCATTTTTGTACCAACTTAAAATAGGGTTCTCGCCATTTTTTGTCTCTGTTTCCTCTACGTAGGCCCACTTGTTAAGAAATTCTTCATGGGAAGAGAGCCTCGTAAGCTTTCCGGTGATAGCCATGTACATCGGCACCACTACATTGAAATCTGTTGGAAAGAGTATGTCAAAATATCCTTGTTTAACCTGTAAAAATAAGTTTAAGCTAGAAGTAAGAGAGTAGTTTTACGGACAAGGTGGGTAGTTACAGGTACTGTTCGCCTTTTGTACCGTGTTTGTACGACGGGCGCATTAACTCCTTTTATTGTATCTGGTAACGAATGAAAGTCACTTGTTACAAGCTTGTGGCCAGGAAAGTAACGTTCCAAAACATCAAAAAATTGCATAAGTCGGGTTGGGATGTACTCGGGCTCGCTCAAATTTGGCGCCAGTGGTAGATGCCTCATAAACTTCCGCGCAGTCCTCCCTTTATCTAGAGGCTGGGGGTACCGACCACCAGTAGCCGCATGGCGGAGTCGAAGAAAACGAGCCGCAACTGCATCAAGGGATGGCGTATAGAAATCATAGAATTCTCCACGAGAATCTATCAATATAACACCTTGAAGAGGATCTTCGCTGACAGGATCATATCGAATACAGTCATGGGCGAAGTTATCAAAAACCTCCATTGCAAGAAAATAACATGGAGCAGGTACCGCTTCATTCCATTCAAAGATACTTTTATTTATAATCTCAACTTTTTTCAGGTGAGCAGCCACACTGGGTGAGTTGCAAAGTTGACGCTGCTGCAACTTAGCTAAGCTAGAAGAAATTTCTATAATTTTATACTTAGTACGATCATATACCGAAGGTTCGGTATCACGAATGTAATCTAAAATATTGAGCATGAGAGTTCCATTTCCAGCGCCCATCTCGTATATAATTAAATCGTGGTAGGGGTATTGGAGAAGTTTGTAGTTAGCAACTAAGTAACGAGCGATTGCTTCGCCATAATATGGCCTGAAAAGCTCAGTAGGTGTATGCCATAGCTGACGGGACTCATTTAGCTCCTTGCAGTCTAACTCATCTTCAAAACTAGTATACCGCTGGCCTAGCTGACGATAGAATTCTGGCTCGTCTTTCATGGAGTTAAAGTCGAAGGGTGTTTCGGGCGTGAAAATTACGACCTGCTTTGAAAAGTAGCCATAAGATGGGTTGTACAATGAATCTATTCATTAGCTTTGGGCCGGCTATCGAGGGTATGGCGCAGCTGTTTACCTTCAATAAAGTCCCTAGTTAACATCTTAACGCGACGAGGTCGCTCCTTCCGTCCACGTAACTGCTCGGCCGTAACGAAGGGATATCTGGCAAATTCCTCAGCGCGATCAGCGGGCCATACGCTGGTTCTTTGCTGCCATTCGATCTCAGATGACTGCTTATTTGAAGGAAACTTTGTCGAGAGTAGTCGGTGCCAGAGGGCGCTTCCATTTGACACACTGCGTACCGTCGAGGAATACGCGGGCCGGGATGTGTGCGGGCCTGAAAGTCGGAATGTGTACCTCATAAGAGGGATTTCCATTTGTTGACAACAAATTTACAACTGAATTAGAGATATATCTGGACCAGTTGTTGATCGAGGTAAGTGTGCGAGCCAATGAGCTCTTGGCATACGCCTGCAGACGTGATTTGATTACTGGATCGACGATTTTTTGATAGTCTTGTGGAAGGATCACAATTCGATGTAAATATCTTTGCGCTAGTTTTCAAACCACATGACTGTACCGGAACACATTCGAGGCCTATCAAGTCTCCTCAACTCAGCTTTACTTAATTCTCTTCATTTGTGTTGTCCTTTCTCAATCAAAAACTATTTAAGACTTGCAGGTCCTTTCTACTTGTAGGCCATCAATAACTGCGCCCCGGATAGTCCCTAGCCTCATGTCCCTTCATCAGTCCTCTTCCTGTAGTATCAATCTCCACAAGTCTTTTCCAACCATACAACTTGAAGAGCTTTTGGCCCATCTTCATCTCCTTTTCAACCAACAGAACAAAGGTCATTTTCAGCTGTCTTGATGTCGAGAAAGCTTGCAAAAAACTACTGCATGTAGACTCCACTTATGTAGACACTGCGGCTAAAGCCAAAGACGTATCTACATGTCTAACATAGTCTGAGAGGTCGGCCGTCCTGCAGGGAGCTGCAGAGTTGTTAGCATCCAGGAAAAGAACTCTCTACCTTCCCAGCCTTGTTTGAGCCTCTTCCGTTTCTCGCTACCGGGACTAGATTGGAGGTTGTATTGGAATGATAAAAGACTTTGAAATTAATTATACGGTGTAGTGTGGCCTAGTCCAACTTTGAAACGCCTTTGATCGTGGGTAAATCAGCAGATTTGTTGGAAGTAGAAACCCAGCTGACCGGTGTTCATTACAACCTCGGCTCAACAGACTGCAGTAAGCCCTGAAAGTTAGCAGGTGACGAGAGCTATACGCGATGAGTCTTTGTCTCCTACGTCGACCATGGCCTGGTTATCTTTCCAGCACATATGCATTCTTAATGAGTAGATTCTCTGATGTAGTCTCATGATATGTAAAATACTATTACGTACCACATTGTTTCCTAACTTTTATTATAACCGCGCATCCGACATAATCGGTTTAGCTATCCACCAGGCCAGGAGCATAAACTAGCGTGAATAAGCTAAGCTAAGCTTCGCACCACCAAATATACTCGCCTCTTTAGGCCCTGTCCTTGGACAATTCACGACAGCGCTCAGGGAGAGCTAATCAGCGTCATCATAATGATTAATTATGCTTCGTTTTATAAATCGACTGCAGTTTTCAGCGCTTTTTTCGCTGGTGTGCTGCTAGGGGTTGGTTTTCGATCGACTTATTCATGTCTTTTTGGCTGGTACAGCCGCGACAGATTAAAATCTTCGTCATCGCCGTCACGATTCCAGCCCGTACAACCACCTCCCGATGTGCCACTTGGAATTGAGAGTACGATCGGAAACACGCCTATGTTCAAGATTAAGAGCCTATCTCAAGCCACCGGGTGCACTATCATGGCCAAAGCTGAATTTCTAAACGGGGCTGGTGGCTCTCCGAAAGACCGTGTTGCTCTACACATGCTTCGGGTGGCTGAAGAGGAAGGAGTTCTCGAACCTGAAAGAGGCGATACAATCTATGAGGGAACTGTTGGTTCTACTGGAATATCCTTGGCAAGTCTTGCAAAAACAATGGGTTATAATATTCACATATGCATGCCTAGCGACCAGAGTCACGAAAAGGTTGAACTGCTCCAGTGCCTTGGTGCTCATGTAGAAAAGGTCATACCAGCTCCCATTGCGAGCTCAGAACACTATGTTAATTTAGCACGGAGAAGGGCGCTAGAACATCACAAGCTGATGCCAGAGACCAAGGGTTTTTTTGCTGACCAATTCGAGAATCTGACAAACTTTAAAGCTCATGTGCTTAGCACTGGTCCGGAGATTTGGGCACAAACTGGAGGAATCCTTGATGCCTTTGTCGCTGGGGCCGGTACCGGTGGAACCATATCCGGAGTTTCACATTATCTCAAAGATAAAATGAGTATGGGCAACAAATTGAAGGTGGTCCTTGCCGATCCAGAGGGTAGTGGTCTACACAATAAAATTCTCTACGGGGTAATGTACTCAAACACTGAAAAGGAAGGCACTAGGAGAAGGGATCAAGTTGATTCGGTTGTCGAGGGAATCGGTATAAACCGTTTGACGCAAAACTTTGACGTGGGCCAAAGGCTTATTGACGACTCAATAAAAGTAACCGATCTACAAGCAATAAATATGGCAAAATGGTTAATGGAAAACGATGGAATTTTCGTAGGTAGTAGTAGCGCAGTTAACTGTGTTGCCGCAGTGGCAACAGCCCTTAAGTTGCCGCGTGATAGCAGAATAGTCACAGTACTATGTGATAGCGGTACAAGACATCTCAGCAAGTTTTGGAAAATAGTCGGTGGCCTCGACTGGAGCACAGAGCCGACTAGACCGACCGAATTGCTTAAATTACTAGACTTAAAAGATAATCGGTGACAGTGGATCTGATCTTTGCAAATACTTGCTTCAGAGTATGAAGAGGTGTTCAATACACAGGGTTAATCATTAAGCGGCTAGGCGATTAACGAAACGTTCGATCTCAATCGGATTTAATTTCTCGAAGTTCGTTTTTATTAATAATTTGAATGCGTCTGGATTAACTCCCCACCGGTGAGGCAGACTCAACCGTACGTTCCAACGCCACCCAAACCATTCCGAATCCCATACACATGTAGTAAAATCAAGCCTAGTAACTTTTGCAACTTTCAGGAAAACTAGGCTTGTCAGAAATAGGTTTTCAGAAAATATTTGATACATACCTTCCAGCGATTGCCACAAACTGTGCATTCACAAAAAGTCGTCATAGGTTCATCGGCAGATCGGGTCTGAGCTTGACTGTAACTGACTTTTTTCTGGCCACATTTGCCACACTTCAATGCATCACTGATACTCTTTTCTGCCATTGGAACTTGGGCTTTCTTCATATTCTCTTTATTTATTTTTTCGTCCTCTTGACGCCGCTTACTTGATTTAAGCTCATCATGACTCATGTTCACAAACTTTGTGGGATTTATCTCTCCAGACAGGACTCTTTGACCTAGTTCTCGGTTTGAAACCGCCTTCAAATTTTGAAAGAGCGATCGAAGTTTTGCACGGTACTCCGGTGTGTCACCCCCAAATATATCAAAAGCTGCCTTTTCTACTTCTACTGCCCGTGAGATAATAAGACTGGAAGATTCATCGGACATGAAGCATAATCCATTGTAAATGAGCCCGACACAAGCGTCTCTAGTCTTTAAGCCCGTACGTTTCACGTCTACTTTCTCAGTTTCCCATCTTCTTTTTGAGTTGTCGCCTTTGAATGATTTAGGTTCTCCGGTCGGTGCTGGTGACGCGATTTTTGGCGGTAAATTCGGGGCTAATTTTGGTCTTGACTGAATTATTTTCTTCCATTTTGATACTATTTCGGCTGCAAGCTTAGAAATTTCTTTATTCGGATTGGATTTTTGCTTGGAAATAATTATTCCAGCTTTTGTTGTCTGTGTAGAAGTTAAATTAGATCATGTAAATTAAACAATTAACGAGACTAGTTATACTGCGAGAATAACTCTGCAGAACTTGTCGCGCAGCTGGGAACTTACTCGCAAGAGCTCTTCAGTCGGGAGGACTTCCTTTTTCAATATCTCTAATATATTTACAACTATAGATGCTGGCTCCTTGTCTGCAACAGCTTTCTGTAACGCCCGAAGGTTACGGTCAACCTCTCTTGGATCCATGGCGCTTTTAGTATTATGTGGAAGGAATAAATTCCCCTGAAATAATTTCCTCGGCGGATGTAAACATGAACTTTAGAGATACGCGTCGATTATTGCAGAATGCACGAGCGGTTATTGCTCATGCGAAAAAGGCTTGTAACTATTCTAAAGTTGTTCACTTATAGCCTGATATTCAAGGGTGAAATTACAGGGTTCCAACCTCCGCGTATTTTGTATAGTCTTTTGGTAAAATGTTGTAACATCTAGTAAACTTGTCTTGAGTGACGCAAGGCTCTAAAGAGATGCTTATAAATGTCAATTCCATGAAGGGATTTGACTTCTCTGTTAGTACAATTCTAGCATGACTATTCCTTTGCCCTGAAAGCTGTGTGGAGTCGGACCACAGAAATCCCGTGCAAATGTCAGCCTTACGCGACTTATGTGATATGTGGTAATGGACTACAGCTCAACACATGTAGAGAACGCCACCTACTACCTCTCACCGGAGGACGGATGCTGAATACCTGTCAGTGATTTACTCCATGAACTCGTGAGTGAAACATTCTCCCACAGCCAAGACTCAGTCACGAACAAAGATGTGATGATTTTACAATTATTATATTGTCGGCTTGAAAGAGTTGTACTCTATATTTTGACCGATTAATTAGTCGACAGAGATTTCATAACCGCAACAAAGACAAATTAGTATAAACATACGACTCACGAATGGGCCCAAGTCTATCTTGGGGTCGTCTGCGAACAACCGATATCTCTCAAACTCCTTATATATTTGCGACGATCCGTATCTCAGTCGATCCCACACCTGCGACCCACCTCCATATCCGTCACGTCACCTACCTATACACGCTCTAATGAGGAAGATCAAGATAGAAACTGGCCGTGTACAAAGGAGAAAGAAAAGGGAAGATACACCGAGGGGATTACACAAATCCCCAATGATGACAACAACCCAACAGTACGATATGAAGGTGCAAGGCTAGAGCAACAATAAGATCTGGGACTACATTTATATGTCGGATTCAATGGGGATGTCAAGGATTCGGGCGCGTGGTGGCCGAGGCTGAGGAGGAAATTACGCAATGGCGTGTATACAGCGGGTTTCTGGACGGTCAGTCTTGGTATGATTCAACACATACGTGAAGTCTGAGGTTGTCCGGTCATTTTTGTTGGACGTGTTTATTGTACTCACATTGTAATTAACCTGATCAGACCTGGCCCCACTCGAGCTCAAGCTCAAATAGGAGTTCGAAGGGTGTCAGTTGCCTAGCACGTTAACATAAATACATACATACTACCGACTCTCACCCCACAATACAGCCTGTTGAGCCGAGGTTGTAATGAACACCGGTCAGCTGGGTTTCTACTTCCAACAAATCTGCTGATTTACCCACGATCAAAGGCGTTTCAAAGTTGGACTAGGCCACACTACACCGTATAATTAATTTCAAAGTCTTTTATCATTCCAATACAACCTCCAATCTAGTCCCGGTAGCGAGAAACGGAAGAGGCTCAAACAAGGCTGGGAAGGTAGAGAGTTCTTTTCCTGGATGCTAACAACTCTGCAGCTCCCTGCAGGACGGCCGACCTCTCAGACTATGTTAGACATGTAGATACGTCTTTGGCTTTAGCCGCAGTGTCTACATAAGTGGAGTCTACATGCAGTAGTTTTTTGCAAGCTTTCTCGACATCAAGACAGCTGAAAATGACCTTTGTTCTGTTGGTTGAAAAGGAGATGAAGATGGGCCAAAAGCTCTTCAAGTTGTATGGTTGGAAAAGACTTGTGGAGATTGATACTACAGGAAGAGGACTGATGAAGGGACATGAGGCTAGGGACTATCCGGGGCGCAGTTATTGATGGCCTGTAAGTAGTAAGAACGTATACGTCTTATATATCTTCATTAAAGAGAGATGGTGATTAAAAAATATCATGCAATGCGTCTATGTAATTCTAGGACAACATCAATTCCAAATTTCCTAGAATCTGTCGTGGGTAGGGGAGGTTGTGATCGGGTTGAGTAGTAATTGGAAAATAGGTAATTTCCATTTTAATTTATTTCATTATCTTGATTTGGTGCTCTATAGATCCATATAGGCGCCTGTGGACTATGATATCTAGACTGGAGGAAACCTATAGTTCAGAAGATCCCTGGTCTTCTGTTCAATGTCTTTGGCTTGCCTATTTTTCCAGGAAAAGCTGCTTTACTATAGCGTCATCCATGAAAGCCAACATCTTTTCTTTCTATTCCAAGGAATTTCTCTCCCTGTTCTTTTCCTCAAAAACATTGAGTCCGACTTGGATCATAGTTGGATAGAGCTATTGAAAGGCTATGCTGAGCTGGAATGACGTACCGTTAGGATGAAGGTATGGAAGGAGGTAGCTATGGCTTTAAGAGAAGTAAAGTTCGTGAGTTATACTCTTAGGACTTGGATCAATGGACGAACTTGAGGATATTCCCTAGTATTCTCAAGTGTGTAAATAAGATGGAGATCGTTTGAATTTCCTATTGTATGAATTGCTTAATTTGTCTACGTGACAGGACCTTCTTCCATATACATGAATAAGGGGGTTCTGCACACTAGTGGATGTTCCAACATCTGTCCTTGTCTAACCGAGAAAGAAAGGATGTGAGAGATCCTAGCGCCAATAGATACCATTAGGAATCTATTGGGAAATACTATATCATACCAATGAGTGATGATTTAGGTCAATCATATCCCATGGCGCATGTGCACATTATTCTAATGTGAACAGTTTATTGTAATGCAGTCATGTTACTCCCTTAATTACAACAAGAGCAACTTCAGAAGACATGGATTCACATTGTGATTCTTTCGATGTCAGGAGGATTAGTTATCATTGCTTCGAAGGACTGGCCCTTGGCTAATCTCCAAATGTCCGCTCTACCAGTATGTGGGTTCTAGTTGGTCAGTCTGTGATCAAAAATGATTTCACGCAGATGTCTTGTGGCTCCGACTAATAGATAAAAAAATATGAGTAGAGCTTAGGACTGGAAATACGTGATTGAGTTGTCTCCAATACAGGATCACCAGACTATTTAGATATTCCCCTACACCACGTGAGGCAATCAACTAGGCATAATGTTCACGGTCTGGTTTCCATCAGTTGGAATCCACAATGTGCTTTGGGTTCTTTTATTGATAGCCACGTGGACAACTTGGGCTTTAATTTTTTTAAATTCAGTCCATTCAGTCCTTTTGGGGTTGAAAGCTATGCTGGAAAGTATTAAGAAACATCATATCTTTCACATTGTAGTGTTTTTTTTATTTTTATTTTTATAAATTTTAGGTCCTAAGCTATGCTCTATATCTCCTAGGAGTCAAGGACCGGTATACACGGCCAAGATCATGCTTCCCATATGCCCGACTCGGTCTCACTGCGTGACCCACTACACAACCAGTAGCTAGTTATAAGAAAGAATATAAATGCTCCCACAAACTCCCATAACCAAAATTCCGAATCCAATACTCCAATTTGAGGTGGGAAAGCGACACTCCTCGTCTCGTTTTCCTTCCTGTCATGCTTCGTGCTATGACCTAGTTAATGTTGTCTCCGCTGAGAGCTGGTGACGGACTTGCAGGTGAGTCGCCGAAGCAGCCGGTTTCCTGCGCAAAATTTGTAAAATCCTCAAGGCACTTAGGCCCGAGAAGCTTTTGGACAAAGTCGTGATGTGACATTGTCCCTCGGATTCGACGCGTCTGACGTTCGTGCAGTCGACAGTGAATGAAGTGGAGAGGAGATGTTTCCTCTCCACACGCACACTCCATGGAAGCGGTGAAGTTGTTGAAACGACGGTGACATGCAGCGAAGTTTCCGTGTCCCGTTCGGGCTGAGATCAGTTCACGGAGTAACCGCCGAGAAAGTGCCTGCTCCTTTGGCTTGCGTCGTCGCATGAGTAGACCCAAATTTCGATACCTAGGTGGACATGCTTCCTCCCACCATTCCTCGAGAAGAGCTTGACGTTTCTGGTTCATCAGAGGACGAACGTACGCCAAAGTGACGGAGCCAGGCTGGCTCTCTTTACTTGGAAGTTGTCGGAGGCCGGAGCGTGCAACTCTATCAGCCTCTTCGTTTCCCTGTATCCCGGAGTGGGCTGGTATCCACTGAACCGAGACTCGAGCCTTTTCTGATAGCGCCCTAAATTGGCGAACATCGTCGAGACTTGTTGTGGCGGTTCCCGTCAGCAGTGCCTTCACTGCAGATTGACTATCCATCAACACGTTGATCCACTGCCTGCCGTCACTTCTCCCGTTCTCTCTCTCCAACAATCCTAGCGCAGCTTCCAGGGCCTTCCTCGCCCCTAGTATTTCCGCATCGAGCACTTCACCACCATGCTTCATACCACATCCCTTCAACAGAGTCTTTCCATCCCTCTTCAAGACGAACCCCCATGCTGAACGACCATGTCCCTCCGACGATCCATCCGGGTAAGCACAAATATCCGATGCTAGTACATCTCCAAGGAACCGAGTAGCTTTTTCCTCCTCCTCTTTCCTTGGGCCAGAGCTCGAAAAATAGCATGGCGGCGGCAGAGGCTCGGCGTCTTCCGCGTCCGGGAGTTGACGGTAGGCCCGCTGTACTCGTGACATCTGGATCCCCGGATTCTTGGGTACCCGAGCAGACTTCTTGTACTTCCGTGTTCCAACGTTTGGACACACGGCGGCACGAGTCCGGAGCGGATGTCGGTTGTCCAGTGAGTGGAGCCGAGCCGAAAGCCGTAGTCGGTTCCCTTCCAGAATGATCTTCCCTGTTGGGATACCTCCTTCTCGGTGGAGAACAAAATTCGGTGTAGTTCTCATTACCGGGAGGGCAGTGCGCAGTCCCGTCAAGATTGCCTTGTCAATCATCTTGCAGAAAATGCTGGTTCGAGGTGTGATGATCCCCCTTTTGGTCGGACGTTTGAGGTCGGGCCACCAAACATCTGCTCCGAAGGTTGCTATAGGGACAATGCACGTGTCCACTGCTCGAACCAGTGCTGTAG